TATTATTATTATTATTATCATCATCATCTCCCCTATTGAACTGCGAGTTCCCTGAAAGCGGAATCTGTGTCTGTTTATATTTGTAACTACAGTACCAGTGTCTGGTAAAGTGCTTTAAACATAGGGCAAGTTCCATTAATGTGTTCTGTGAATGAATGACTCATGCACACCAGCCCGATCAATCCATCCAGAGTTTGCTGAGTGCCTACAACACAATGTGCGTGGTATTATGTGCTAAGGACAGACATCAATCATTTAATCTTCACAGCAGCTGTAGCAGGTAGGTATTAAAAAAAACCCCATTTTACAGATGAGAAAAACAAGGCACAGAGGGGTTAAGTAATCTGCCTGGGTCACATCCTGAGCCAGGATGTGAATTCAAGTTGGCTTGCCCCCGAATCCCATGCTCCACACTCCTCGCTTATGGACCCGACCCCAGCTCTAAACATCAAAGGAGGCCGAGAACTGAAGGCTATTCCTCCCATATCTCTTCATCACTTTCTTTGCTCCTTTTCTTGCCTTTAGGTCCTGGTCCTCCTCCACATGGCAGAACCTCCTGACCTTGTGGCCAGGTAACTGCCTTCTAGGAATACCAAGTTGTTCTAGAAGGACCTTCTCCAGCCCAAGAGAAGCCCCTCTGCTGTTTCATCATGCCTAAGCTAGGACGGATATTGCAGGAGGTGGCCTCCATCAACCTCCTCCTCCTCCAGGAAGTCTTCCTGGCATGGCTGGACTTCATGAGCCCCTATCACCCAGCCTTTACACACTCTATTCGCTTTCCACTGATACTGACTCATGAAGCAAACCCCGTGAGCATCTTATGTCTGCTTCTTCTGTGTTTCTGTGTCTACCCCATTTGTTGGAAGCCCTCAAGGGAGGAGTGTGTAGGAACAGCTGGTCCCAAGGCCTTGTGTTCGTACAGGGCCCCTCTGTGGTGGCTGGAGGGGAGAGAGATATGTTCCCTGCTGGGTTGTTGCAACCCTGACCCCCTCATCCTAATGAAGAAGTGTGTCAGCTGCTGCTACTCCCCTGCCACATTTCATCCCTGAAACCTGATCTCTGTCCTCTTCGAGGCAGGGGGAAAAGGCCAGTTCTCTAGACATCAAGCTAATCAAGCCAGGGTCCCCAACCCTTAGCCTCCCCGCCCCCCACAGTGCTCACTTGTTAGAGTGCAATTTTTTTTAAACTCTTTTAAATGTTGTATTTATTTTTGAGAGACAGAGAGAGACAGAG